ATACTGTGCAGAAGAGCGTTGTCTCCCCTGTGTCACTGTGGGAGGAGCGTGCACTTACTCTAATGACAGCCCGAAAGAGTAAAAAAGTAGTAATTCCCCAGAGAGTGAGTGTCTGACGGAGGGGAAGTGTCTCAGCGGACACAGCACCTGCTCTCCATTGGCTGACGGCTTCTTTAATTTTATTTTTGTGCAAGTGAAGTCGTCCAGAGCCAAAATCTGGGGGCTTAGCTGACCAGTTTGATTTTGGATTCTTTGGAAATTAATACAATTTAAACTTTTTGAAACATGGAGACTGAATTATGTGGTTTACATATTAATTCCAAAATCAGTCCTAAAGTTAATGTCCTAAAAATGTTGTGTACATGGAAGCATAGTGAGAGAACACCAAGCGGAGATCCTGGGCCTGCCACTCATTGGTAACCTGGAGCAGCCATGGAGCCCGAGTCTTCCTGGGCCTTAAATTAGCTGCAGTCATAGCCACCCAGCTCAGATATGTGACAGAAAGTCATACAGAAGAGAAAGAAACTGCAGTTATGATAGGAACATTATTAGTTTGAAAGGTAGATGCGCTCTGGAATGTTTGTTAAACCAGTCTCGTGTTCTTTACGGAAATGCCTTATACCTGGGCGGATAGATACATGGATGGATAATACGTTTAGATTGGGAAGAAACCCACCCGGAGCGTTCCTTTCCTGCCGTGTGGCCTACGTAGGAGTCTCTGTGATAGTCTGTTGACATGCAGTCACAGCAAGAGAGAAGTCAGAACTCCCCCTCCCTCTCCTGCGGTGAAGTGAAGTCATTATGTTCAGTTCAATTCAGTGTTTGAAGTGCTTACCAGTGTTTCAAGTACATTTGTTTCATTGCTAGAAAACTTGAGTAAAAACCATTTACAGTCCTCAGGAGCCTCTGTTTTCTGTTCACATTGGATGTTGTAACATGGACCCTATTGTAACATAGACTTCCCTCGCTGCTAGGAGAAGCACCCTGGCCTTTTGGCTGATGATGCAGGACTGACCTTTGGAAGCACTGATAACTTTTCAGCCCAGTGTTCCCTCTTCCAGTGCTGAGACTGGAGTCTTCTCAGTCTCTCCCCTTTTCCTGACCCTCTCTAACTTTCCTTATGTTCAAAACGACAGCAAACACAGCCACCCTGAAATGCAACCTACCCTTCTGAGGAGTTGTTACCGCTACTCTTAGGCTGACAGTTACACCTGTGCAGAGGTGTAGCATTACAGCTGACGGTCCTTTTCCAAACTTCTAGAGTCCAGACGCATGAGGGACGATGTGGAGTCCGTAGGCCTTGATTCAGGTACCATGTGCAGCTTGGCTGCTGCGAGTAGCTGGGTAGGCACTGCTAGAGCTAGCTTCTCTGGGCTTCCTCGCCTCTGCCCTTAGTTGACTCTTTAGTAGTTTAGTTTTTAGCCCCATGTCCTCCCCCAACCTCTTCTGCTGGTACCTTGTTCCTTGAAAAAGGAACTCTTAAGAACGTAAGGTTTGGCTGAAAGAAAAACAGCAACCACTATCCACTGAGACCTGCCCTGGGTGCCCTTTTTTGTGCTTTCCAAAGGCAAAAAGCACATGATTCTAACTAAACTGATTTCAAGATAAGCCACTTTACTTGCTTCAGACTCTGCTTCGCTGTTGAACTTGTTTCCTTTTAAATTTTATTTTAAATTGTACTTTTGCTTTTTTAGTAGCTAATAACATTCTGCTTTTTAAGTTTTTAAATGTTACTAACTGTTCCCTGTTACCCCTCCCCTGTTTTTTAATTTGCTTAAAGATGGTACTGCCACTAAAGCGGAGGGTAAGCCGTTTGTTTCTGTGACGGAGGTGTGTCTCCCTTCCACGGCCCTGTGCTCACGAATGTCTCCTCCCGCCCCCGTCTCACTGAGGTCCCTGCATGCCACTGCACGCTGCCCCCTGCCCTCCTCATTGTCTCCACTGGTTTCTGCCTCACCTCTACCTGAGTTCTCCCTTCTTGTTCGGTGGTTCTCGTGAATGAGCACTTGAGTATGCTGTTCGTGGTTTCAGCTCTGAGCGCACACTGGGGAGGGGTTGGTGACATTGTGTGCCGCTGGCCCCAGCTGCCGTCTCAGAGCTTGTGCCTCCTGAAGCATTTCCTCACCTTTTGTTTCCTTTTGTGTCCTTCTCTTTACTTTTGTGCTTTTGTGGGCCTTCAGGAATTGCTTTCCTGTTTTGAAAATGAATTTGTGTCAATTATTCAGGTTAAAGACGGGTAAAGGTTTTCTACCAGGTAATTTATAGAAATTGTTAAAAATGCATTTCTATCCCCCAGTGATGTGACACCATGCCATTTTTATTTGTAACACTGAGCGTACCCCAGTCATTCATATGTTTTCATTCATTCACTCCCCAGGCATGTAGTAAGTGCCTCTGCGTGCTGCGTCCTCTGCTCCACACAAGGACATAGCACGGTGGCCAGAGTGTCCAGATCCACTTGGTTTGGTTCTGTGCTATTCTCTAGAAGGCCTCCCTGATTTCGCATTGGCCTTTGGATGTTAGACATGGCCGTCGAGTGTGTGTGGTCTTTGACTAGCACATGCTAGACAAGATCATCCTTTTACAAAGTCTCTAGAGAGAAAGCATGATATTGTTTCACACAGTTGGAATTTAGAATGACCTCGTCTGCTTAAGATAGTGGCTTAGACACACCAACCCTCAGGATAATGGTTTAACAATTAGGGGTGCTCGTTTACTTTCATACATTATTTAGGACTCTAAAAGGCTAACCTGCAGAGCAAACTGGATTTTTGTTGATATGTGTAGTTCACGGTACTTTATTTATGAGGGGAGGGAGAGATAGAAACATCTATGATGAGAGAGAGTCACTGATTTGCTGCCTCCTCTATGCCCATATAGGATCGAGCCCGCAACTCAGGCATGTGCCCCAGCCGGGAATCGAACCCTTGTTACCTCCTGGCTCATAGGATGATGCTCAAACCACTGAGCCATGTGGGCCAGGCAGTTCACAGTACTTTTAATCCATATACTACTTCCTAAGATAAACATAGTCCCAAGATCAATGTTCTTCAAACTTCTCATAAAAATTACCTAAAAGAACAGAGGTCCTGTCCTTCCCCTGAACATTCTGATAAAGTTCGAAGCAGCAGGTAAATATGAATTTTCAACAAGCCCCCCCACTGGTGATTTGTGGGGTTGGAGAAGTTTGTGAAACGAAAAGTTACCAAAAATGAAAAATGGAAAAACACCTATGTCATAACAAGAGCCTCATTTGTGATAGGAGCCTGACTCTGGGTGTAATTTTCCGTTTTTAGCTGATAGGAGTAATTATTTATTTTCCTTTCCCATAGAAACCATCTTTAATAGTTTCTCAGCCGAGGTGGAAGGACAGTGTGGAGGGTGGAACACAGTAATGCTGATGAAATGGAAAGTGAAAGACACTGTGAGGGGAATTATATTTTTTCCCCAGAATACCTTGATTGATATGCCTGTATAACACAGTTGAAATAAGTCTGTTATTTTAGCCAACACTGGGATTTTTTTTCCTTTTTAAAAAAATATATATGTTATTGGTTTTTTACAAGAGAGGAAGGGAGAGAGATAGAGAGTTAGAAACATCGATTCAGCTGCCTCCTTCACACTCCCTACTGGGGATGTGCCCGCAACCAAGGTACATGCCCTTGACCGGAATTGAACCTGGAACCCTTCAGTCCACAGGCTGACACTCTATCCACTGAGCCAAACTGGTTAGGGCTTTTTTTCCTTTTTAATCAGTTTTCTTTTTACTAGTCAGAGCAAGTTCAGAAATTTGCCTGTTGATGACTGTGCTGACTGACAGGAAGTTTCTTTCTGGTCCTCATTCCAGTCGGGGAGGGAGAACATGTGGGCCCTGAATTGTACCAAGTTCAGAATAAGACAGAGAGGGCTCCTCGAGTGGAGCCCCCGAGCCTTGGTCTCCGTGTCCCAGGGCTTTCCCAGGGCTGTGCAGCGCAGCCGACAGCAGAGCCTTGAGCCTGGGTGAGGAGGGGAGGGGCAGAGGGGCCCCTAGGAGGCCTGTAGCTCAATGTCATTCCTCTGTTTGTTGCCGCAACATGACTGGGCAGTGATGTTTAGAAAAGCCACAGACAGTTATGAGAAAAAGGCAGCAGTAAATATTACAAAGTGTCTTGTCATAAGTTTCCATATCTGAAATTTTGGAATCATTATGGGCCTTTTAAAAAATTTATTTTAAAAAATCTGTTAATTTTTACCATCTGGCTCCTGAGATAAGAAGAAATAGGTACTGTCATTATTAGGAGACAAAGATAATTTTGAATCAGTGCTTGGATGATCTAAATTTAAAATTCAGACAGTACATTTAAATTTTGGCAACTTCATTATTATAGTAATTGAGAAAAATATATATTCTTTGGAGGTTATTTATTATACATATCGAGTAGTCTTTCTAACATTTATGACTAATTAGAAAAATGTTTTTTGTGATGAACCAAAAGCTCAACTATTGGACAAAAGTTTACTTCCAGGACAGCCTTCAGTGTGTTGTGTTCAGTAATTTTGGGAGTTTGAAAAGGAAGCATTTATGTAGTCTATTACACTGCTCAGGAGAAAGTTTATGACTAGATGTTGAACTTGTATGGCAAATAAATGCACTGTCTAATTTTTTTTAGCTACTATGTTTAGAAAATTTGTTTATTCATATTTTTCCCTGAAATAAGTAATTTCAAGAGATGAATTGCCATGTTTGAGTGACCTGTGTGGGTACTAGTAACTTACGGTTAGTTTCAGAAAATAGACGATCACATGTTATTAAGTATAGTCAGAGGCCGGCATAACTATTGGCGGCTTCGAGGTTACACAGTAGAAACTATGGAGCCTTGTCTGCTTTTCCGAGAGAGGAACCTAGGTCTTAGTTTTACTGAGAACTAAACCATTTGGTATTATTGTACTTAGACCCAAGAATTCTGAAGTGTAAGTGGTTGACTTTTTTTTACACAATGCAAAAATATGTATGTCTGCATGTAGAAGTAAAAGAGTGTTACGAGTGTTTATCTTTAAAATATGTAAGGAAAGTTACTCTTTTTGGGAGAGTATTTGTAGGTAGCAAAATTTACAACTGATCAATTTCCCAAATTTTGATTCTGTCAAAAATGCTACTTGTGAGTAGAGGTTGGTTTAATTGTGCCCCTGAGCAATGAGTCGTAAAATAGATCTGTATGCAAAATGTCCCAATATGATGACAGTTGAGATTTACCTAGGAACCTTTTAATTTTTATACCCCCTAAACGAGCGGTTCTCAACCTGTGGGTCGTGACCCCTTTGGCGGTCCAATGACCCTTTCACAGGGGTCGCCTAAGACCATCCTGCATAGCAGATATTTACATTACGATTCATAACAGTAGCAACATTACAGTTATGAAGTAGCAGCGAAAATAATTTTATGGTTGGGTTACAACATGAGGAACTGTATTTAAAGGGCCAGAAGGTTGAGAACCACTGCTTTAAATTGAGAGTTGGCTCAGACTTGAAACATATGGGGGACAAAAACCAAGACACCCTACTGTATGAAGCTAAGTGGAAATTTAAAATTACCTTAAGCTAAATGGGATATGGGAAAACCACGCCTGCAAATTAAACCAGGTGCCCAGGTTCCGTTTCCTGATTTGAGGGCTTTTGTAGAAGAATGGTGGTGTGATTGGAAAACTCGTCAGCAGCGCTATTAGAAAGCCACAGACACGGACATTCTCTCTTTACTCCATGAAAGCCAAAGACTGCACTCCTCCTACAATTCTTTGTTTTCCTCTGGGTCTGCTTTTCTCTGGGTAGATGTATTTGTCGATGTGCTTGTCCCTCCCTGCAGAATATTTTTTGTTGTACAGTTGTCTAATGTCTCATTTCTATTTCTCTTACTTACTGTGACTTTCTTTCATATCTACTTCTGTCTGTCATAATACAATACAATACGAATGAATGAATGTGAATATGCCATTAACAAGTCAATACAGAACTGAAGACTATTTTTACTATTTGTTGCATTTATTGAGTAGGCTTTGTTTTTCCTAAAGACCACAGACTGTTTTATATAGACTCTAAAACGTACACAGGCAATTCATAGTAATAGCACCAACTTAATAAAATGAAAAAACAATGTCTATGAAATAAATAAATATCTGAGTACAGCGTAGTAGAGGCCCTTTAAACTTTGCCCCCAAGAAGGATTTTAAGGATGCCCTGAGGGCTCAGTTGCTAAAGTGAGTCCCTAGGGCAGGCAGAAAATGAGCCCTTGACTTCACCAGGTGAGTATCATGAGTTGGCATGAAGCCAGCTTGTTCTAGGTGCTATGAACCCATGAGAAAGTGGAAGTGCTGTGGATCCATGAGGAAGTGGAGGTGCTGTGGGTCCATGAGGAAGTGGAGGGGCGTGGGTCCATGAGGAAGTGGAGGTGCTGTGGGTCCATGAGGAAGTGGAGGGGCGTGGGTCCATGAGGAAGTGGAGGTGCTGTGGGTCCATGAGGAAGTGGAGGGGCGTGGGTCCATGAGGAAGTGGAGGTGCTGTGGGTCCATGAGGAAGTGGAGGGGCGTGGGTCCATGAGGAAGTGGAGGTGCTGTGGGTCCATGAGGAAGTGGAGGGGCGTGGGTCCATGAGGAAGTGGAGGTGCTGTGGGTCCATGAGGAAGTGGAGGGGCGTGGGTCCATGAGGAAGTGGAGGTGCTGTGGGTCCATGAGGAAGTGGAGGGGCGTGGGTCCATGAGGAAGTGGAGGTGCTGTGGGTCCATGAGGAAGTGGAGGGGCGTGGGTCCATGAGGAAGTGGAGGTGCTGTGGGTC